GGGCGCGGCGCTGGGTCCTGTCCGCAGGCGCTGGGCAGAGGTGGGAACGGAGTGCGGTGCGCGTGCCGGGGCAAAGAAGCATCGCGGTGTGGGGCAAGTTTCCCAGGTTGGAATCGGCTTCCGAGGCGCAAAGTGAGGCGCAGAGCCGGACAAATCTCAGCGGCTCGCTGAGCCGGCTCCCCTCGCGCGGGCCGGCGGTGGACTGGGACGGGAGCGGTGTTTCGGGAAGAAAAGGGTTCCAACTTTGCCCGCGGGCTCTGGGACCCAGGCCTCGCCGGGGCTGCCCCGGCTCGCGTGCTCGTTCCCGCCGCCTTCGGTGCTCCTGGAGCTCCAGAGCCACCAGAGTGACCCAGTGTGCGCGGCAGGGGCTCTGGAGGCTCCGCGGCGTTCCCGCAGCTTGCCCAACTCTAATCGAACTCAACCCAGTGTCGTTCTGCCGGGAGACCGTGTTAAACTGATTATCTGCACAGTAGGAAAGGTGCTCTTTTCAGTGTGGATTAAGTAGCTTTTGGCAAAGTCCCCAGGGGAGGGCAGAAATCCAGTCTGCGAGACAGGAAATAGACTTTGCTCCTATTTCTCCTGTGCTTGCGGCGATTCGACTGGAGTCGGTGGGGCCCTGCGGCTGCCCTGTGGCTGTGATCGGGATTGAGTTGCTGGGTTCTGGCGCGGTTTAATGCATGACATGAAGAGTTTCCGGGAGGAGTTGTGGCCCCGTATGTACCCCGTTGTGCACCCAGTCTTCCATCAGTAGGTGCACGGCCCACCCTTCCCGTTTGTGTGGTTACGGCGTCCCCACAGCCTTCCCCTCCTGGAGCTGCCAGCCCTGCTGCGGCCGCGCGGTCCCCGATGAGCTCCTGGCCAGCAGCTCATTGAAAGTCTGTAAACAATTTTTAGGGATTGTGGAAACCAGAGAAGTGGGTAAAGCGAGTAGGGTGCTGGAGTTGTACAACCCTCTCGAATGGGCTTGCTTCTTGTATATCCGAGGGTAGAGTGTCTGAGAGTGGCGAGTCTGCAGAAAGAGCACATTCAGAGCTCACCGGAGCCTGGAGGGAAAGCTTCAAATGTCTGGTAAATAAAGTCTGATTTTTATTGTGTATGTCTGAGAGACTTGTATAGGTCTGGGATTGT